CCATGATTACCAAACTGATTATGTCCTATCAGGATAAATCAATATATTTCAACTTTATCCACAGTGGCAGCGACTAATTCACATGGCAGCATCTGGTTCTTTCTCCAGAAGTTCCCTTTGGTTTGGACAAATTCAAAGATTTAATTTAGCAACTACAGTCATGTGACTTCTCAATTTCTAGAATAAGACAATTACAGCTACGCATGGAGAGAGAGAGAGAGAGAGAGAGAGAGAGAGAGAAAGAAAGAAAGAAAGAGAGAGAGAGAGAAGCATTGCATCATCTTCAAACTCTTGACAGCAGAAATACAGATGCACTGGAAGGGTAGGACATCATAAGTAGTTGTTTCCAAAATGGAATATTGCAATTTGCTTTATGTAGGGCTGCTTGTGAAGATAATTTGGAAATCTCTACCATGTGGTGATCAGAGCAACTGGCTATCGGTTCGTTACTAGGCTTAATGCTAGTTCACTGAATCGTGTGAGGTAGGGCCTTTTCAGCAAATCCAGTTAAAAGAATGCCTTCTACCTGGTTTCTGTTAGCCTCTCTATCAACCTGTACATAACCCCGGATGTAGTTTCTGTCATTCACAACCATTTCCGTTAGTAACAGTACACTTCCCTGAAGTATCACATAGAACAGTGTTTTTCAAACTTGGCAGCTTTAAGACGTGTGGACTTCAACTCCAGAATCACACAGTCAGCCATGCTTGAAAAACACTGACAGAGAATCTTCCAACTTTCCATTGTGTATGCCACATTGTGAAGCTTTGCCCTGAAAAGCGGCTTATAAACATTTTCAGTGAGTAATTATTTCTGACATAATCTTTGTCAGATGCATATATCCAGTATGTCTAAAGGGAGACCTTTGTAAGGAGACGGACTTCTACTAGTGAATATGTATGCCCATGTGGAAGATTGCTATAGTCTACAGTGCTTTTCAGATATGGTAGAATGACTGCTCTGAATATTTCTACCTGAAGGGTGCCAAAGGAAAGGAAGACTCATCTAGAGAATATTAAGCTCAAACCAAAAGAACTGTCCTAAGCACCCATTGACCCATCACTGGTTCTTAAAAGAGGTTCTCAGAGCTCTTCTGAAGGATGACCTTGAAAGAACAGAGTTGTCTGTTGGGTGACCTTATTATTATTACTTATTATTACTTACTACTGAAGCACTTTCGTTTACCTGTTCAGGGTACTCTTTTCTTCTCCTATTTCTACCCCAGTAGGCCATCTTCATGCAGATGAAGTAGCTGTGAGGGTACCTATCACTCGGGCTCCCTGGCAAGGCTGAGATTTTGAAAACAAAAAGCCTGCAAGTGCCATCTTAGGTATGTCTCCCCTAGGTTCTGGGTGAGATTTATTCCTTATGGCTGCAGCCTACATCTACTAAGTGTTTGAGGAAGCCCAGACAAAAATGGCAATGAAGGATGGGCCTCCTTTGGAAAAAAGCTACCCTTTTCCTCTGAGAAAATTCTCATGGTAATCCAGTTCTCTTCTTATTCAGCTAAAATCTAAATATTGCAAAATCATTGGAGCGGATCCAATTTTATGATTTTTTTTGAGACGGTCATTAAGCAAACACGACAGTCATTAAGCAAACCCATTATTCATTATGTGATGCTTTTTGCTGGAAACTTGGAAGTAAATGTGGGTTGTATCATGACAAAAAAACCCATCATAAATTGGGGTCACATGACTGTGAGGCCCTGCAAACAGCCATAAACGTGGACCGGTTGCTGACATCCAAAATGTGGACATGTGACCAGGGGAACTTGGAAACTGGGTCTCAGGCAGTGGTGGGATTCAAGTAATTTAACAACCGTCTCTCTGCCCTAATGATTTCTTCCAACAACCAGTTCACCAAACTGCTCAGAAAGTTAACAACTGGTTCTCCCGAAGTGGCGCGAACTGGCTGAATCCCACCACTGGACCTAGGTACCTTTTGGGGGAATCTATTGTAATTGTAACCAGTTGCTAAATGACTGGTGGTAAGCTAAGGATTACCTGTAAGGCAAAGAACTCTAAAAAGTTATGCTATCCCAGCCTTTCCAAACCTGCCTTTCTAACACATTTTCTTGGCCTTCTCTAAGATGGAGAGCTTATTTTAGCCACCTTGGACTTATTCAGCATTGCAATGTCTTCTGGAGTGCTGACTCGTTTAGTGTTGACTTAAACTTAATGCCTTTCCCCAACACGTATAAGCACTCATCTGCTTGTTACAACTCTTGGCATTAAGTAATTAAATAATTGTCGTAATTCTAGTGGTCTTAGTGCAGCCAACAGGCCAATGTCAAGAGAAGGTTTAAGCCTTCGTATTTTACCTCAGATAGGTAGGAGGTTTTGCCATTGGCTAGGTGGAGGCTTTGTGAGGAATCAGTATCACACCCTAGATGGAAATGGTTATTTCTACAAGGTGTTGATGGTTGCCTCTCTCTGCTCGCTGCAATACCGCTCACCTCTACTTTGCACTTCGGTCAGAGGGTTAGCACCAAGCTGTAGTTTCTGGTGATTTTAATAAGGGTCCTGTATCTGCCTCTCATTCTTCATTGATTTCAGTGTTTGGCACTCACCAGATTCGCTATGCAGTGGGTTGATACCACCCATCCCAGCTTTCTTGGCACCTAGTCTGAAATTTACCCCTACCCTTTACTCTTTTGTGGCCTCCGTCAGGCAGTGCTCAGCCCCATCGCTACCCCGTGGCCGCCCCTTGCAGCCTTTCCGTGGTGGCTCCACCCAGGAATTGTGGATGATTGTGCCACCAGGTGCGGGATCGACTTGCAGCGCTGACACCACTCGTTTCTTCAGCTTGCTGCGGAGTACGTTGCGCAGTTTCTGGCGGGTAAAGGCATAAAGGAGTGGGTGGAAGATGGTTGTACCATAGGCCATGGCCAGGAAGCAGATGCGCAGCTTGCCCAGCAAGGGGCTAGGCCCGAGGCACAGAATGAGCAGGTTGACAATGGACAGAGGTGCCCAGCACAACAGGAACGTTGAGATGATTAGCAGGGACATGCGGAAAACACGCCGCTGGCGCTCCCTCCGGTCACGGTGGCGCTTCACCGCCCGACGCAGTGCGATGATCACAGAGACAGAAGCCTGCACACCCATCGGGGGCGGAGCTGGGAGCGTGGGCATTGGCTGGGACAGCCTCTTGGTTTCTCCAGCACTGATCATGCTGCTGCTGCTACTCAGCTCTACTGCTTTCCGTCGCTTCCTCTTTTTTGTCTTGCGACGCTGGCTGCGCTTAAAGGTGCTGCCAATGCTGATATTGAGAGCTTGCAGGATCTTGGCGTAGGTCACCAGCATGACCGCCATGGCTGCAAAGAAAGTGGGGATCTGGATGGCAAGGTGGTAGGAGGTGCCGAGCTCAGCGTGGAACTCTTCTGGGCCAACACACAGCACAGTACGGTTTTGCCACACGCTGGCGTGTCCAAACTCGCCTTCAAGGAAGGGTATAAAAAATACAGTCAGGGATAGCACCCAGACTCCAGCCAGGAGTAGAATTGCACGGGCTGGAGTGAGCACACGCTGTGCGGGACGAACCGAAATGTCGTAACGGTCCAAGCTGATCACCAGGACGTTGGTGGCTGTTGCCACGCTGCTGAAGGTGATGCAGGCCTCGTGGAAGCAGCAGAAGAGGGTGGCAGCACGATCGGGCGGCACCAATATGACCACCATGGTGAGAGGTGCACACACCACGCAGATGAGCACATCTAGTACATGCAGGTTCATGGTCACCATGTTGCTGACTGAGTCAACCAGGCCAGCTTGCAGGCAGTAGAGAACCAATACTGTGAGGTTGCTGCTGACCCCAAGGACAATTTCCAACATCAGGAAGCCTGTCAGGGACACCTGGAAGCCCAGTGGATAGGACAGGGACCAACTGTGGTCAGGGGTTACCCCGTCTGTTGTCTCCAGGATGGTGTCAAACATGGGACTCTCCATGGTTGAAAGAGGCAGAAGCACGTGGGCATAGTCCTTGGACTGAGCTGAGCGTTACAGACAGCAACCTTACCTATGAAGGGGGGGAGAGAGAGAGAGGGAGAGAGAGGGAGGGAGGGAGGGAGAGAGGGGGAGAGAGAGAAACCATCAAGAACCCATAAACGTAGCAATATTTATTTTTTCAACAACGGACCTTGCACTAAACCCACAAACCTGCCTTGAAAATATAATCTCAAAGCATCACAAGGAGGCCACGTTCAGGCAAGATTTTATTCCTGGTTGTGGTATTGATTCATTTTCTGACTTCCTAGGATACACGAAGCCACAAGATGGATTGGGTTTGCACGGTGTACTCAATAATGGAAGAAGAAACAAACACCCAATATTAAAACTAATGAAGCTTAGCCTGTTGTACACACGTGGTTGCTAAGGCCTAACAGCCTGCTTCAATTTCTCGTGTGAATCGAACCAATTAATCCTGCAGAAAGGTGAATTTTTTTTAAAAAAAAATCTGAAACATTTCAGCACCATCATTTGAAAAGAAGATGCAATCTGTGCATGTATTTTTCACTGCACATGTATGCCTTTTCTGCAGAAAAACAGGACAGGATCAAGCATTTTTAGGTTTTTAAGTTTCTCTATCATTCGGGATAACTTGAGCTCTTTTTTCAAGGAAGAGGTTTTCCTCTTCCCGTTTTCCTTAGCAAGACTTCACCTACTAGTTTGCACTCACAACCAGCGAACTAATGTGTTGAAGCTGACTAGACTGTTTGCTAAGGACACCAGCCAGATGAACACCAATGAATGCTGGCAGGCAGAGGCAGATTTTTTTTTCTTATTTTCCTCCCCCAAAACTAAGGTGCGTCTTATACTACAGAGCATCTTATACTGTGAAAAATATGGTATATTCTTTTGGAATATTTTTTATAAACCTATTTGGGTAACCTTAATATTTATCCCTTCCTCCTAGGTCAGTATCTATTCAGTAATCTTGACTCACACAATCCTGTCATTGACGAGAGAGGGGGGGGAAGGAGGGAGATGAAGGGAGGGAGAGAGAGGGAGGGAGAAAGGGAGAGGGGGGGAGGGAGGGAGAGT